GAGGTATTTCGGTCGAGAAATTAATCCCGAACGAAAGTGATGGCAAGTTTGTTCTGGCGTTAGGAGTTCGGTACGCATGCTGGGTCGATGAACAGCCGGCATGTTCTCGCTTGATTGGGAAAGGAAAAGATCAGCACGGCGTTTCACACGGTACGCCTGAAGTGATGAATTTCCGTTAATCTATCGCACACTCTTGCGAATAATTTATCTTGCGGGGGTTAGAACATTTGTACGACGATTCATCTGATCTTTATGGGCATACGAGTCTTCGAAGTGATTTTAAGACACTCAGAAGCCTAGCCTGCTATAATGCTGTCCGGAGCATTTCGCGTCAAAGTACTGAATCTAGGATCCAGAAATGCATTCGTTCAGCAACCGATTCTACTGAATCAAATGGTGTATCCCTAATGAACCAAAGTCATCAGGTTTCACATGTAGCTCATCTCACCTCTGCCCTAGATCGTATGCAACCAACCGATCGTTACATGGACCCTGGATCTCTTGGATCGATACAATCACGCAATACAGTCGTCCAATCAGAATGTGCTTTCTGGCCATTTTGTTGTTCTTACTTGTCCACAGGCAACTGCTCCCTCCCTTCCATCGTCGGTATTGTTCTCATCGCCCATTCGATTGTCCACGCTGTCGTCTCTCGCTGTCGTTCTCCCACCACCCTGGATTAATGTCCAGATTCGCGGCCTCACAGTCACGCAAATTCAAAACGATATTTTTGCTCACCCAGCACTGATGTTTTGTTGTTTCCCGAGTTTGTTAAAAATAAACATTTGTGAGTCGAGCGAATACACCCACCATAGTCAAGACCAAATGTCACAGTACGTATTCCCAGTGTGGATGAACGAACTTTGCGAATTTTGTGAGGAAGTCGGGAATAACAAAGTGTCGTTGTCCCACCTAACAGCTGGGCTCCTTTGAGTACGCGGAAATCGTCTGTTCTATTGGACAGGACACTAAATTTAACCTCTGAAGTTTGCTTGTTTTACACACGTTTCTTTTCATCCTAACTAGTGGTCTACAATTAATTGAAAAATTTTTGGAACTGATTGAGAAGTCATCGTTTCAGAAGAGCTTGGTAAATAATCTGTAGTTTTTATTTGGGCAAAGTTTCGCTTTTGACACAAAAGTTTCACCAGGCCCACTGAACAGGTCACCAAATTGGCCAGGCTATTAGACAGACGGGGAACCAATCAATAAGTCCTCTTCACACTAGATCAGTGTTGAATGTCAATTAACGGCCTGGTGAAACTTTTGTGTCAAAAGCGAAACTTTGCCCAAATAAAAACTACAGATTATTTACCAAGCTCTTCTGAAACGATATTTGTCTGCAACTTTGCTTAAAGAACGCACACTTGGTCGCTTAACCTCTGTTGAACACCCGAGGGACTGATTCTGAAATATATGCAACAATTTCGCCAACATAAACTGAAAACATCGCTTATAATTTTTTCAACTGAATAGTTACCTCATGTTTTCACTGGACCAGTATTAAAGTTTTCAGAGCCTTCCTCTATACTACTCAAAAGTTTAGTGAGAAAACGGAAAAGCCACTAGTGTTTTCCTTTCCATTTTAAGGCTCAGCAAACTGGCCTACTCTCGACCCCCCATAAACCATTTCTGGTGATTGGATAACAAATTATAAGTAGTTCGAGACACTTACTCATTTGCAAATGGGCCTATTGTTGACCGAAACTCCTCTGAATTTCGTGCTTGCGAATGAATCGTCACGAGGCTCTCTGGACAGACTGCTATCAACGCGAGGCTCTGCCTAGATTCAAGTAGAATGGAGCAATAACCATTCGGCTATGACAACCTTTCGGTACGCAGCTACCATTCCACTTGATAAGATTCTGCCAAATTGCCTCAGCCAAACAAGGGAACTAATCACCAGAAGTCTTAGAAACTCCGTTGCTACGACATACTTGGCCGCTACTCTATGTTTGAACTTCAACTCCAGCCCCACTATAAAATTCTGCTTGAAGGCCAAATTGCCACGTTCTACCACCAGCTTTTGTGTGTACTCATTCGTATGCTCGTGCCGAGCATTTGTCGGACAGAATGTGAGAACACAGTCCGGTATCTCTGAGTCGTAGTGGGAAGAAACCAGGCTCAAGTGCAATTTGGCCGAAAACAATTCATGTCATAGACGAGGAACAAGCCTTCACCATCATATACCGGGTACCTCTGAACCGGTCACGACTGGTACGATCCAGACTACTATCGATCGCAGAGGCGATTGGAATCCGACTGCTGGATCCGTAACTTTGCATCCAAAAGAACCTTGTGTGACCTCTGAACTTGAACTGGTCTACGAAACATCCGGTCCCACAAGTCTGTCTGACATCGACATCACTCACCTGATTCCGTGACCCATTGACCTATCCCTCATCCAACCCCCCTTCCTTTGATTTCTATTTCTCTAAATTGTATGTAGCCCCGATCTTAACCTATCCCACATGATTTCTGCTACCAAATAAATTTGTTATGTATTAGCCAAGAGGAAAACAAGCTGTGTTCGCTACCTTCTTCGTTCTCACGAATCTGAGATGCCAATGGTTGGGTTCGAACTACGGGACTTCCAGTCAGGAGACTCATGCCTTACCACCTGAGCACCTCTTACTGGCATTCTTAGTTGCAAATGGCTGTCGATGTCACCATACCTTCAAATTTAGCGCGCGAAATTTGGTGTACGATCAACTGAAATTATTAGAATCCGTATTCCTAGAATTAGTTTCATCTAAAGCCTTCTCCAACATACCTGATATCCTACGGGTGAGCAGTTTTCCGTGTGTTTCCTTTCGATAGCAATTGGCGTAGTTTTACGAACTAACCACGCAGGTCAGAGAAACTTAAATAGTATTTATTGTACCGCTCAGTTTGATTGCGCAGAGGGTAACTTCTCCCGTCACTTAGAATGTAAATTTCTACTCAGCCACGTACTGATGACGTCATTTGATTGTACGCAAGTGACTAACTGGACTCACTGGTGCATTCTTGCCGAGAGACTCAACTGAATCATCTTGTGGCATTCAAAATACACATTGATGGTGACCAGGTGTGGTGTGATCAGGATTTCTAGTTTGGTATGACTCACGGATCCCTGGTTTCTTCGAATATCTAGCGTATTTACCCTAGAAGGAACAGAATATCCAACTGTACACGCAAGCAGACTGAGTAAGACTCCCGGAACCAACCAAACTTTCCAGGCCGTTTGGGAAGATACCTATGGCATGGCTCACATTGGTCACTTTCCTCAGTCCAGGAGATGCTTCTATATCCCCCAACTATTTCCGTCAATCAAGATAGAGTCTTTATTTGATGCGTAGAGACAAGCTACGCATTTTAACGACCTTGAGGTATCAAGTAAGGTTTGCAATCTTCCTCCTACCTTCATGTTATCTCCAGAACAGCGGTAACTATCCACTGTGTTCTTCCGTGGAACGAATCAGTCTACTCCATCTCTCAGGCTCGATGGTTCTTGTTGTCAGAGCGACTGGTAAGTATCTTCTCCTTTCACGGACTGCAAGAACTTTGACGTGTTTTTACAGTAGTCTTCTAAATCAAAGTTAATTCACTGGGGACGACCTAAGTAGTCTTGATTGGGATGCCCCCCCCCCCAAAGGGTCAATCTCCACTGACCTTGCCAGAGTATACTAATGAACTCAAGTGCATAACTGGAAATAGGGACCCCCGGATGATAAATTTATGGTTACGTCTTTTAAGCTGTATACCCCTTCTAACCCCCATCAGAAGTTGACTTGTGAGGCATATTTTGCGAGACAAGAACAAGTAGCAAGTTTCTTTAATGTCATATTTCTTCTCGCGATCAACTCTTTAAATGGGCTTTTCATGGATCACGAAAGTACAGTTTAGACAACCTGCGAGGACGAACTGAAGACTAACTGGTTTTATATCTTGTTTTCTCTAAGAGGGATCCAAACGTCCGATGGTTTCATATGACGCGCGGTCCTTACCAGAGACAACTGAGTGCTTTACGACTGTAAATTAAGTTCTCTTATCACCCTCACAAAAATTTAGGTTGGGTAAATAGAAAAGGCGGGTGTCCAGGTAACGAATATCACAAAGTAATTTGCGCCATTGTCGGGAGGTTTTCCTCTAAAAATGATCATCTCACGTTACTGGCCTCAAATCTTTGGGTGATGGCCTCTTTCCTGGAAGGGGTAATCTTGTCTGTTTTCGCCATCGTGAGTTACGCCCACACTATACTGTGCTAGTTGTGCCTATCACGTGGCTTGTTTGAGTGGTTATACCCACAACTTCAAGATGGGCGTTATCCTGCCGTCACATGAGACACCGTTCATACGTGTTTTCACGACCGGCTGAAGCTGGTCTGTGGATGGCATTTGTTCAGCCATCTGTCTGTTGCTAACGGACTTGCGCTGTTCTTAAGTCCTAGGTGTGTATAGCCGTGTGCCGCACTGAAGTTGTTGGAAGCTTTTTGCTAGCTAGTCAAATAGGGCTGGGCGAAATCGTGCGGGTTGATTTCGATAAGGAAGGGCACTCACGAGCTTCCCCTGTCCTGGACTGTTCAAGCATACTTACGAGACGTAATCGAGGTGCCGCCTAAAGGTAGAAAAACTCAGAATAAGAGATCTTCATCCTAGTTCTTATAGAAAGGAAAACTGTTTTTACGAAGACATCTACTGGGGTCATTTCGGGGATTGGAGAGTGATGTATCAAAAGACTTCAATTTCAATTCAAATATCGTGAGGCTGGAATGCAGGGATCCGACGTGGAATGATCCCTCTTAAAAGACGTTTACTTTTCAGTTCGTTTCATAGCGAGTTTAAAAAGTGTTAGATAAGGTGACTATTCACATCGACAACCCACGATTAGTTTTGCCCTTCTTGGGGCCCACCATGCAGACGCAGCCCCCAGCTTCCGTCGATCTTATGTTCTACGTGAGCTCAGTCTAGTCTCTAGTGAAAACCAAATGGATTTGCAAATGAGTGTATTTATTGAAATCAGTCCAACTTGGGTTCAAACTGAGAGACCGCGCCCATCTGATGAAACAGAAGAAGGGTGAAACCGATCGTGGACTGTCGAAGAGTTCTCAGCAAACTCGTGAGTAGTTCCTTTAATGAAAATATACTACAATATCTCGTATTTCGTACCAACTCAAAGATGAGGCGGTCTTTGTGCAGCACATTAAGTTGAAGAACACCATAAACGAGGGATTTAGTTAAGTCTCCCGTGAAAACCAAATTGATAGACGTCTAAAGTCCCTCCGACATATGTTACCTATCAGGATGAATTTGAGTAAGTCACGTGTTCACTGTTAGACTTCAAGATTTATTTGTCTGATGAAGTAGATCACAAAAATAAATGTTGCCCGGCTACGGCTTGGTCTGTGGAAAGTTTCCCTTAGAGGTTCAGTTCATTCTGAGTCTTTTCCGCGGTTTATTCAGATTTTAACAGTTACTGTTGTCCTGAAGATTGATATACATCCAGTCAATAAATTCGAACCATTGATGTAAATCAAATGAAACGGTTGTGGCTACTTCCATTATGCTTAGCTACTTTGCTTCTGCTCCTAACGTTTTCCAGTCACAGACGTCACAACAATTTACGTTCCACCAGACTACTAACTGTCCACCTCAGTGAATTTATATGGTGGTCCATCTGTTCGCCTAGGTAGAAAATTTTTTCGCGTTCTCCGAACAAATTATTCCCAGCTTAGCATTATCAGGATAGGTCGATTGTCTGCCTATCGATCGATAGCCTTCTTGGGTAGACAATACAATCTCTGCCCAGGCCACTCGTCCAATCGATTTCGAACGTTGTTGCAAGACGAACTACGCCACGCCACGCCACGCCAAACTTGAGACTGTGTCGGCGCTGATAGACAGAAAAACACTCCCTGTCTCATTCGCTCAAGCAAGCACGCACGCACGCACACACGCACGCACGCACGCACGCACGCACGCACGCACGCACGCACGCACGCACGCACGCACGCACGCACGCACGCACGCACGCACGCACGCACGCACGCACGCACGCACGCACGCACGCACGCACGCACGCACGCACGCACGCACGCACGCACGCACGCACGCACGCACGCACGCACGCACGCACGCACGCACGCACGCACGCACGCACGCACGCACGCACGCACGCACGCACGCACGCACGCACGCACGCACGCACGCACGCACGCACGCACGCACGCACGCACGCACGCACGCACGCACGCACGCACGCACGCACGCACGCACGCACGCACGCACGCACGCACGCACGCACGCACGCACGCACGCACGCACGCACGCACGCACGCACGCACGCACGCACGCACGCACGCACGCACGCACGCACGCACGCACGCACGCACGCACGCACGCACGCACGCACGCACGCACGCACGCACGCACGCACGCACGCACGCACGCACGCACGCACGCACGCACGCACGCACGCACGCACGCACGCACGCACGCACGCACGCACGCACGCACGCACGCACGCACGCACGCACGCACGCACGCACGCACGCACGCACGCACGCACGCACGCACGCACGCACGCACGCACGCACGCACGCACGCACGCACGCACGCACGCACGCACGCACGCACGCACGCACGCACGCACGCACGCACGCACGCACGCACGCACGCACGCACGCACGCAC